CAGACGAGTCAGTGAATGCTTGAGCGAAATAACGAATGAGCTAATGATTCAATGGGAGAATAAACGAGAGTGATTAAACTGGTCAGTGAAGGATTAAATGAATGTAGAAGAGGCCAGATTTTTCTCACAAAATTATTGTGTTCTTTTTGAAGAACTGCCACAAGCCTAATCATATACTAAGATTCAGTGATAGCATATCGATTTGTCTGAATGCTGAAATATGATCCGATTGCGCTCATTTCAGATATCATGAGCAAAAATTTCGCTTGAAGAGATGTGGCATATCGAGAATCATTTATTTGGTAGAGGATTTTGATGGCTATGCTTCGATGGCGGATTACAAAAAGGCCATGGTGCTTGGTGCTTCAGTTAAAACTCAGGTACGCTAAATCTATATCGTAATAAATTATGCATTGCAGCTGAACTAAAATATGATTCATTACAATGACTCACGTGACAATTTCAGCCAATAACTCAACTTGTGGTCTGAAGGACAGTGACATTTGACATTACGCTTAGGGGTTTCATTGTTGCGACAGTTGTTACTGCTACTGTTTATGCAAATCCTTCTACCGACTTCCACAGTGTTACTAAGCTGCCTTTTCACTCTGAAAGCTTCAGCGGTTATTTATATATAGGATTGAATAAATGATTGTTTAAACCATTCAGTTTAGCTGTGCCTCAGACACTGTTTTGTTGGTGGGATATATTCGTTGGCTTAAGTAAAATTTTCGCAGCTGATATTTTTTTGTGCTTAATCCTTGTACCAACTTATTTTTCCTTGTCATTTATATATTTAATCTTGTGGTGTACGTAATTTTGAACAGCTTTGTTTCGAAGTAGAACGTGCTTGAGACCGTCAGTTAGGTACTTAGTAGTATTTTTAGCATTTTTTGAGTATGCGGACGACCTTCCATCGTTAAACGAGTGATACTCATCGAAACGATTATGAGAATGGTTCTACAAGCTATCGCCAAGGTAAGACGGAAACGACATCTACATCGACAAGTGGGTGATGCTATGGAATAGTATTAGAGAATGGCATGGCTCGGCTATTACAAGATGTCATCTTTAAAATCTGACACGATGAACGCATTAGACTGACGTGCGCGAATTTTTAAAATATGACACGATGAACTGTATAAAAACCAACTATGATTTAATTGCTATTGGCCTGTAGGCGCCTACGGGACTCTTTTGGATTGTTCCAAA